TATTGTGCTGTACACTAGAAATATACACAACATTGTAAACTGACTATACCTCAATAAAAATATTTTTTAAAGGTAAACAAACAAGCAAAGAAAAAACAAAAGTGCTTCCATCCCACCCAAGTTCTTCTCTCAGGCGGCCTCCAGACAGGCCCCAGGTACTCACGTGACATCGAGAGGAGAGACGGGGCAGGCTGGGCACACTGGGCACTGAGTAAGAGATCAAATCTCTCAGGGTTAAGAACTAAAATGTCCAGGCTAGATCGTTAGCTGTGGGTATCACAGAAAGAACTGATTAGAAGCCAAGAGAGACCAGAAGCTTCTAGCATTCTGAGAGAATTGTATTGCCCGGGAAACCACAGGCCTGGTGTGACAAAAACTGGCCATTATTTGACCTCAGAGCCCCTCTCAGGCCCCCCAATACCCTCCCCCAGCAGGAAGTGCGCTGTGAAAGCCGCGTCGCTCCCTCCATAAGGTCAGACTCTCCAGTTCCCACTTCTGATGAGGCCACCGGGAACAGGGAAGCTCCCCCCATGCCCACCCCATCCCCCAGGACAGAGGCAAAAGTCAGAGAACCAGGTGTCAGGGCAGTGACTCTTAAGCCTTCTACTGCATCTGAATCTCCTGGAGGGAGATTCGGGCCCCCCCACCCCACCCCACCCCTGGAGTTGCTGAACCCACAGATGAGTAAGGCCCAAGAACCTGCATTTCTAACAAGTTCCCAGGTGATGCTGATGCTGAGAAGTCCGGGGAACACACCTGGAGAATCACTGGTTGGCTGAGAAGAACAAAGGGCTGTCAGAGGGACCAAGTAAAGGAAATGTCTCCCCTCCCAGAAGGGACTTTTTACAACTGCTGCTCAGCCAGATCTGTTGGCTCCTACAGACAAGTAACTGCAGCTTGCCTCTCATTTCAAATGGGAGTTCTGATTGTGGCTTCCTGTTTGGATTTCACTGTTGAACTTTGGGTGTGCTGGGGGAGGCGGGTGATAACTTCTCTTTGGGGGAGATGTACCAGATCATCTGGGGCTGATGGAAGACTACCCATCACTCACTGAGCCTGGGCCCTGAGCAAAGGAAGGAACTGCTCTGGAAACTTGGGGGAAGGGTGAGCATGTCTTGTGTGTGGGAAGAAGTGGGTATACAGATATTTGGGTGGCCCAAAGGGAGGCCTGTAGGAAGAAGGCTGTCCCTTCAACATTTATCCACCCCGCTTCTAGAGTAATAGACGCTTTAGTTGTGCATATAGCCTACTAGTTCAAGATTACATTTCCCAGCCTCCCTTGCAACTAGGTGTGATCACGTGACCAGCCCTGGCCAATGGCAGCTTCTGAGGGACCACACTCTTCTTGTCGACTGGACTGCACCTGGGCAGGTATGGGGTAGCCACTCAGGTACAGGCTGGCAGCCAGGTGTCCCAGATGGCAGAGCAATGAAAAAGAAAGAACCTGGTCCTCAACACCATGGAGTTGCCGTATCAGCCCCGGGCAGCTTGGACTGTCACAGGACAGAGAAATAAACATCTGTCTTATTTAAGTCACTGTCGTCTGCCCTTAGTAACAGCAGTGAACCTGGGATGCTAATACAGGAAACTATCAAGAAACAGCTAAAAGAGTAAAAAGGGTTGGCCTTGGCAAGCCGATCTGCCAGCGGAAGGAAAGGTAACCCTTCTGCACTAATTTATTCTAATTCTTACAGCACTGAATGTCTGACAAATTGTCAAGAAAATGTCAAGGAACAGAGACCCACAGGACCAGCTCTCTACACAATGGGACCAGCAGCCACCCACAGGGCATCATTTCAAGTGACTGGACACACATGTGGCCGCCAGTGGACCCCACACACCGCCTTTCGGTTCAGTTCAGGCACAGCCTTCAGAAAGCCTGTATTACCTAGAGTCACAGTTCTCTGAGGACATCATTTTATATCTGGGACTTTTAGTGGTGTGGTTTTCAAGTTCTGTTTTATTCAAACCTAGTCTTAAAGCTCTTTACAAAGTAGCGGGGGGCAGTGGGGAATAGCTTAGTGGTAGAGCACACACTTAGCATGCACGAAGTCCTGGGTCCAGTGCCCAGTATCTCCATTTAAAAAACAAAAAAGGAGGTGAGCAGAAGCCACGTTCTCAAACTGCTGGGGACAGCTGAGCAATCTCATAAACAACCTTCAGCAAGTAAGTACAAATTAAGGTCAAACCACTGTCACAATTAGGGAAGGGAAAACTGACCGGCTGGAGTAACAGAAACTTAACATGCTTCACAGATGCCCTCCATACTCACTTTCAAAAAGTGATCAAGATTTATGGCACTTTTCTTCCTAATGGGAAAAAAAAAACCAAAAACCAAGATACAGAAAGGGGAAGTGTCTTGCCTGAGGACTGAGAGCAATAGCAATAACACAACCAAACTCCCCAAAGGAAAGATATGCATATGGAAACCAGCTTTATCTCTCTTTCTCAGGCTAGATTTTAATTTGGCAAGGCTAAGCGGCAGAGAAGAGAGGTTTCGGGAAGCAAGATAGAGTCTCACGGGCCTGAGAGGTTAGAGGGGGCTGGAACGGGAAAGCTGGGACGTGAGTGAAGTTCTAAGAAGAGAGGTTGACGATCAAATATCACTATTTCCTGGAAGCCCGAGCAGTGCATTCAGTGAAGTTCCTGTGAGAAAAGCGAAGCGTGAGGCGCGCCAGGGTGAGCCCTCCGTCTCCACCCATGCCCTTGGGGAGGCACCGAGCCACTCCTGACCTCAGCGTCCTCGGGGGGAGACGGGGTTCCTTAGAGCACCCACCTCGAGGGGCGGCCAGGAGGAGCCAAGCTCGCAGTTCAGTGCCTGACGTCTCAAAAGTGCCCAGTCAGTGTCAGCTGAAAACAGTGTCACGCTGCAATGAGTGTGCTTCTTTGCATCTGGCACTGTGTTGTGTGCTGACCTCAAATCATTAAGAACATGTTCAAAATTAGTCAACAGCCAGGTTCTGACGTCAATGGCGAGTTGGCGTGTCCATCGAGAGGCCTGTGTCTCAATCCCCAGTACTTCTTTGCTCCCCAAACTTGGGACACCCCGGCAGCATCCCAGTGCCCAGCAGGGACAAAACTGGAGTCCCCCTGACCAAAATGGCCTGGGTGGGAGGTCCAGCCCCTTCATTCTGACTGCACCTGACCCAGCAGCTTTCCCATTCCCCCTCTCCACACCGCCCCACTTTCTCTCTCTGGCATCCGGGGGTGGGCACAAATCTCATTTCTTCTTGAACTTATTAAGAGTTTATCACTAATTCTCTCAAAGCATGAAAAATGTTTGAAGGTACATCCACTCAATAATCAATTGTCAGCATCTACCACGGGCTGGGCTCTGGGGATGCAGACAGGCCAGAGCCAGGATCTGCATGCAGCTACAGAGGATGAGGATCGGTCACACCAACCAATGTACCATGTGGTCTGAGCAGGTCCCCACCTGCAGGGACACCCTGATGTCCCCTGATTTATCTCTGAGGGTGGAGGTATCTAAGCCCCCAACCCTCCTCCTGGAAGCCCTCCCCGATTCCAGAAGGCCTGAGGTACAGGCAGACAGGTGCTGAACTGGGGTCTGTTGGTTCAGCCAAGTCATTCCCAGCTCAGGAACCCCAGACAGGACAACTCCAGGGCCCACAGGGTCTTCCCAAGGCCTCTGGGGCTCTGAATGGCTTGCTCTCTACCTCCCACAACACATTTAGCTAGTTCCTTCAGCACCCCAGGGCCTTTGCACATGCTGTTCCCTTCCCCCTGGGCTCTCCAACTCTTCACATGGCTGTCTTCTTTCCATTCCTCCAACGTCACCTCTTCAGACTGGCCTTCCATGACCACTGTGTTCTAGGAGACTCCCCAACTTGGAGTTTTCACTTGTTTTCCTGTCTACTGACTGTCTCCTCCTGACCATGCTCTCCATGAGGGCAGAGGACCTGTTGCTTTGCCCACCTGTGTTCCAGGACCTCGTACAGCACCAGGCACTGGGCAGGGGCTCTGGACAGTAAGTGCCAGTGAGAAGCCTGACTCCTGCCCCACACCAAAGGGGTCTCTTTGGGGCTACGGGGAGTGGGAGCTAAGGTGGAGGTAACCAGACCTCCATCCCCCTGCCTCAGCTGAGCACCTGCTCAACACCAGGCACTTGAAATGTTCTCCTTCTTCAATGTCACAGCCACCCTTCGAGGTAGGAAGGTTTTGTTTATAACCTGCTAAGTATGTTCCCATCATGGTCATACTCTCTTGCAGGAGGGCAATTTGATATTGACAGCAATCAAAACTGAAAATACACAAAACTTCAATCCAGCCATTCCAGTGCTGGAAAACCATCATACAGCTAGATTCACACGTGAGCAAAAAGGTACACATCACAACACTGCGTACAGGAGGCTAGAAAGAATCTGGACACCTATCAGTAGGAGGTGTAGTGAATAAATCACGGTTTATCTGTCAAAGGAACACAATGCAGCTGTTGAAAGAACATGTCAATATGAAACCATCTGCAAGATCGACTGCTAGGTGAAAATGAAGGGTACAGCCCAGTGCATGGTGTACTGTCTACTATCTGTATTAAAGAGGGTTGTAGATACTTACAGACGTTTGCCTGCACACAGAACATTTCCAGGAGGATAGACAAGAAATTGTTAATAGTGGTTCCCTCTTGGGATGCAAAATTGGGAAATAGGATGAGGCTGTAAATAATTTCCACTGTAGATTTTCCTGAATTTTTTTTGTTATAGCTATTTTATTATTAATGATTGACTGATTGATTTTTAGACTAGAGAACCAAAATTTAAAAGGTGCCAAAGGACTTATAGTAGAGTCTGTCTCCCACACCTTGTTCCCTGGCCGCCCAATTCCTCTCCCCAGGGGTAACCACCATTACTGATTTCTTATTTGGATGATAAATTCTTTCATTCAAATTTTTCTTAAGATTAAAAAAGGTGTTAAGGCCAGAGAGCGCAGCTCACACTGAAATGTGCTCAGGGCCGGCCGCGCGGGGGACGCTGGTGACTCACAGTTCAGGATGATCTGGGCAGCGCGGTAGAGCTGCAGGTGGCACAGGAGGTCCAGCAGCTGCTGCACGGTGGCCTGCCGCATGCCCCACCACCAGAGCAGCTCCCGTGTGATGCTCACACCCTGCACCCGCTCCATCGACTTGATCTTCCGCAGCTGGGTCAGGTCTGTGATCACGTAAGAGGCTGGAAGGCAAGTGACAGGGTCTGCTGAGAGTCGGAAGGGCAGCCCCTTCACCAGACAGTCACCATGCTAGCCTGGCTCTGCCCATAACAAAGCTGCCCCCACCATACCTGAAATTCCACCATGAGCTGAGGGCCACAGGCGGTCCAAATCATAACGCTGATTCCATTTAACACCTGCGGGGACCAGCACACTCACACTTGAACGTAAGTATCAACTTGGCTGCCACACAAGACTTAGAGAAAGACCACTGGACGAGAGGGTCAGGGACTTTGAGCTTTAGCTGCTTATTTGCTATGGGCAAGTCAGTGGGGTGGGAGCCTCAGTGTCCTCGACTATACCGGAGGGTATAGAAATGTGCCTGCCTTCCCTTCCAGAACAGAAGCCCCACACAGGCAGGGAGTTTCATCTGTCCATTCACTGTTAGATCCCCAGAACAGAGAAGGGTGTCTGGCACAGAGTTGGGGCAGAGCCAGGACTACGGTGAGGCTGGAGGGGCAAAATTTGAGGAGGTGCTGACTCTCAAGGCTGATCCAGCACTGGTAGCAGCCAGAGAGTAGGTGCCTCCCTAAGTTCTGCCCTGGGCATCTCATTCCCCTCACCCTTAAGCCCCAGCCCTGGAATAGGGATATGAACGAATGAATGAATGAACGAACTCATGGCCCACTATCCTCACAGAACCGTTACAAGGAGCAAGGGAGGCATGGCCCTAAAAGCACTGCCCACTCTGAAGCACTGTACAATTTGCAGGGGTCTACCGTTGGTAGTACTAAAATGAATTTCTGTATTTTTTATTATAAAATTAATGGTTGTTCACGAAAGAAAACTTGCAAAAATGCAGGGAAAAAAACTAGTAAGTTACACAGCAGCCCATGAGGGCACTTCCCCTTTCTAAAACTCTCCCCCAACACACTCAGGTGTGGTCCTGGAGGGGGCTGTTGCCAGACTGCAAGGAAGACTGTGTATCCAGTTCTTATTTGCTAATGTTATACCATAAGCATTGGCTGGGTTGGTACGAGCTCTTCATTAATGGCATTCTGAATGATCACATAGTATTCTGCCAAGTTTCCTGAAGTGAGGGAGGCATTATTTTTCTAAAGTAGAAATAAAATAATCACGCTTCAGTTCCAGGATATCAGAAATCATGGAGCAGATATCTATGGGAACGTCAAGTCACACCTTCACTTGACAAACCACTACTGAGCGCTGCTGTGCCGCGGCCTGTGACAAGCCCCAGGGACACAGTGATGAGTAAACCAGAAGCCCATGGAGTTTTCTGTCTGAAAAATACAAACAAGAGGGAACTGAGTGGGGAAGAGGAGGCAGGAGACAAAGCCCAAGGCCACGTAATGAAGGGGCCCCCAAACACTGGGCTACAGAGTCTGGACCTGATCCTAAAAGCCACAGACACCAGGACACCAGGGAAGAGCCAGAACCAGGGAGTGGCACCACCATGTTGCACAATCCCTGTCCATCTGGAGGAAAGGGGACAGTTGTGACAGCTTCCTGCAGAGAGGAAGCCTCTGGGAGAAGTGGCCTGTTAGGAATGGAAAGTTCTCCAGTTGCAACTTCAGTCACTGGAAACTCCAGGCCAGGTTCCTGGTCAGTGGGAAGTGATGTCAGCTGGGTCAGGGGCTGCTCCCAGTGGCAGAGAGAAAAGAGTGGCAGGAAGTGGAATCCCTTCCCATCCCCCCACTTCCTGCACACGAAGCTCTGGGAGGGGACGGCCTGTTGTCATGGGAAGAGCAGAAGCCCAGGGCCGCCTCTGGGAACCCAACCGCAGCCCCCACTTCCGAGGGCTGCACTTCCCTCAAGGCAACGCAGGGGGAACAGGAATTAAACTCTGAGGGGCTTGCGCTGCGGACATTTTAGCTCCATGAAAGTGACATCTCTTAAGGTGTTGACCTGTCAGCATTTAACAAGACTCTTAAAACAGTGTGGAAACAAGATACCTTGGAGGGGGCGAGTCACTGTCAAGGGCCCTGCTGAGTCCACACGCATAAGTGACACCTGGTCATCACAGAACACTTGGAAAATGGGAGAAAATCCAAGTCCCTACTTGGAAGACTCCAAGAAAAGAATCTTTTTATACTTTTATACTTTTGCTTCCAATCTTTCAGACTTTTCAGTAGATACAAAAATATGTGCTTATGTTGTTAGCAGGGTGGTGCAATGGTGGTTGAGGGCCCAGATCCCAGATTCTGAGGCCTGGGTTAAATCTTCTCTCTGTTACTAGTTGCCAGGAGCTTGGGGAAGGCCCTCCCCTCTCTCTGTGCCTCAGTTTCCTCATTTGCAAACGAGGACACAGCAGCACCGGCCTCGAGGTTGCTGCGAGGACTGGATTAGTTATATGTACTAAATAACATATGTGTGATGTAAATGCTCGCTGCAGCTGTTAAACCACCTACACTCTGTGAACACTTGCTTTTATCCCCGATGGTCAACACCACATGAACATCCCTCCAGGGTTGAGCTCCTGAATTCTGCAGGTAGAAATTCTGTGGTAGAAAACCTTGCCCATCTTCAAAGACCTGCAGAGCACAGCCTCCTGAGATGACCCGCCCTCAGGTGACACACCCCTTGTCCGGACCAACTGGACTCCTCCCTGGTTGAGGAAAAAGGAGAGCATCTTGTCCCCTAAGCCTCTCAGGAACTCATCTCCATTTTACAGATGAGGAAACTAATGAGTCAGAGAGAGGCGGTCACCTGCCCGAAGTCACATGGCTGGGCAGGGACAAAGCAGGGCTGTGCACAAAGGCAGTACATGTGTGAGAGAGCAAGATGGGGGGCCATCCAACAAAGGAACCTCTGGCCCAGGGCCCCCCAGAACACGCCTGCGGTCCCAGACCTGGGGTGAGTGAAGCTGTGAGAAGCCTGTTTTCCTCCAGGGGCAAAAACAGATCCAGCTGCAATCACAGGGAAATGCACAGGAGGCAGCCGCGTTATCTGTCAGCAACGATCAAATTCAAAGAGCAGGCATATCTGCCGCTGGGTGATTTTCTCAATCTCTTTACGGATCTCTCCACCCCGACTCCGAGTGGCACAATCAGCCCTAGGGGCTCATCTCTTCAACAGTGACTCACAGAACCCAATATTCTTTAGGACAGGAAGGTCGATCACAGTCACTTCTGCTGAACAGAAACCAGAGGGCACTGTGACTTGGCAAGGAGCTGCTAACTGGGGGCCCCAGTTGGCTCCCAGCCCGGTGATCCCCATCCCAGAATGGAGAGCTGGCCAACCATGGGCTCCAAGCCCACGTCCTCACCGTTCTAATATCCCTCAGTCCATCATTCATTCAAGTGACACTGAGTGTCTGCCCACTGGCCGGCCGCTGCACTGGGAACATAGGAGTGAACTAGACAGGTAACGCCCCTGCCCTAGTGGCGCTTATGTTCTAGACAGACGTAAACAAATAAGGGCCAAGGTCAAAGCACGTTAAAAGGAATGAAGGAAATAAAATGCTGTGATGAGATAAAGAATAAAAGGTGGGGGTGTGGGAGGGTAGGCAAGGTAGGCCCAGCAAACAAGGTGACATGTGAACTAAGAACTGAAGGACTACGGCCCCCCCAAAGACGTCAGTGTCCTAAACCCCAAAACCTGTGAATATGGTACCGGATGTGACAAAAGGGACTTTGCAGATGGCATTAAACAGGATTTTGAGATGAGATTCTCCTAGATGACCACAGTGAGCCCCAGGGTCCTTAAAAGAGGGAGGCAGGAGTGTCAGATTCAGAGACGATGATGACAGAGCAGAGGTCAGAGAGAGATCTAAAGATGCCACCCTGTTGTCTCTGAAGGTGGAGGAGGGGCCACAGGCCGCCTCTAGAAGCCAGTAAAGGCAAGGAAATGGATTCTCCCCTGAAGCCTTGTCAACACCTTGATTTTAGGACTTCTGACTTCCAGAATCATAATGCAACAATGGCTGTTTTTGAACCATTCAATTTGTGGTCATTTGTTACAGCAGCAAGAAGAAATGAATAGAGACTAGAAAACCAGCCATGGAAAGCCCACGGGGCAAAATGTCCCAGACAGAGGGAACACCCAAGTTCAAAGACCCTGAGTCTGGTCTAAGGAGGCACTGTGGCTGGAGAAGGTGTGCAAGACGCAGTGTGGGGTGTGGGAGGAGGGGGCTCAGACTGCGCCAGATGGTGCAGGCCCGGGAGGAATGCGGATTAGAACCTCTATCATAATGGAAGGCCTCTTGAGCAATTCTGGTGTCTCCAGGGCTTAAGGAGTCAGAGGCAGTCCCTACAGAGGATGTACAAATCCACATGAAGAGACGCCCAGCATCATTAGTCATTAGGGAAATGCAAATCAAAACCACAGCGAGAAACCACTTCATACCTGCTTGAAGGGCTGGACTCAAAAAGACAGGCAATAACAAGTGCTGGGGGGAGGAACGTGGAGAACCCTCGCATATTGCTGGTGGGAACGTACGATGGTACTTGAGTTTCAGAAAATCTACCGGCAGTTCCTCAAAATGTTAAACATAGAGTTACCATGTGACTCCGTAATTCCCCTCCTAGGTGTCCACCCAAGGGAAATGAAAACATACAGCCGCACAACAACTTGTACACAAATGTGCAAAGGAACATTATTCATCACAGCCAAAAAGTGGAAAGAACCCAGAGGTCCCTCAGCTGACCAATGAATAACGTGCAATACATCCATCCATTGGAATCACGGAGAAATTAACCACTGATGATGCTACAACATGGATGAACCTTGAAAACATGCGAAGTGAAAGAAATCAGTCACAAAGACTGTGACTCTTGTACATACTGTATGATTCCATTTATCTGAAACGTCCAGGACAGGCAACGCCTGAAGCTGGGGGAAATGGGAGATGTCTATGGGAGTGTTGCCAGGGAAGGTTAAGGGGTGCAGATAATGAAAATGTTCTAAGATTGACTGTGGAGATGGATGCACAAATCTGCATATACTAAATGTCATTGAATGATATATTTTCAATGGGTGAACTACATGGTAGTTAAATTATATCCCAATAAAGCTGTTTGTTAAAAAAAAAAAGGTCATAGGTGTGCCTTCTAAGGGTGCATGCTTAGCATGCACAAGCTCCTGGGTTCAATCCCCAGTATCTCCACTAAAAAATAAAACTTTAAAAATTAATTTTAAAAATACTTAAAGAAACCTAATTACCTCTCCCTGTTAATTAATTAATTAATTAATAATCCTAGGAACAGAAGTTGTTCTGGCCTTCGCAACTGAGTCCAACAGGGAAAAAACTCGAGCGAGTCTCTTATACAAAATTTGTCCAAAGCCCAGGAAACATTTAAAGTAGTTAAATCACAGATTATCCGAGCAAAGGGATACAGTGCAGTCTAGAAAATCAGGTGGTGACAGACATTCTCAGAGGTACCCTAAAGGGTTAGCAGGGACTGTCTCTGCGGGGACAGAAAGGGAGGCTGAGGATCGGGGTTGGGAAAGACAGTCACCTTCCCCTCTGTCCCAGGGGCATGATTTACACCATGTGACCTAGTTCATCTGTTGTTTCTTCCATTAAAAAGTTAATAAAAATACATACTGAAAACAAAAAACCAACTCCATGTTGCTAAAGAATATTGCTTGGCAAGGAGAAATAATTGTGACATATTTTAAGTGAAAAAAAGCAGGCTAGTGGAAAGTACAAAATGATATGATTTGGGGGAAATGTATACGCATAAAAATGCTTAGGAAAAAAGACTAGAAGGAGTAAGACAGCTCGCACCTGCTGGCACACGTAAGAATCCAATACATGTTAGCAGTTGCTGTTGTTATCATTATTAGCATCCAAATAGTAGAATGATTATCCCTGAGTCCTAGAGGTTGAGCTAATCTTCGTTTCCCACAGTATTTTGCAATAAGGATGTATTATTTTTGTTACTAGTTTAAAGCAGGGTTTCTTAACCTCAGCACTACTGACACTTTGAGCTGGACAGTTCTTTGTGGAAGTGGCTGTCTTGTACATTGTAGGATGTTTGGAACATTCTTGGCCTCTACCCATTACATCCCCCAAGTTATGACATTCAGAAATGTCTCCAGACCAGATATCGGCAAATGTTCCCTAAGGGGGCAAAACTGCCCCTGGTTGAGAAAGATTAGGTTAAAATACATATTATTTCCTCAAACTGGATGGATAACACACACATGTTTATTTTATTACTACTCTTTCCACTGTACATATGTATTATATACTCCTTATACAAATGGTGTCTATCATAATCTCAATTTTAAAGAAAATATAGATATTACTTTAAAAATAAAGTGGCACCAGTCACATTGACTTAAAACGTAAAACAAGGATGATCATTGTTAACACCTCCTTATTACTTACAAGAACCTCTGACACATAAGTATCAGGTGTTTTTTTATACAGTTCTGATTCCTCACAACCACCTCCAGTTTATAGATTAAGCTGAGGCTCAGAGAGATTGGCAATTTGCCAAAAGCCACCAGGTGGGATGTGGTGGAGCCTGGAATACAGATCTCCGCTTGGGCGCCTGAGGACCACACGCGCAGCGCTTCCCCCCACCCCGCCCCCCCCGCGCTCCATCCCAAGCCCTCAGCCTCATTAGGCGCAAACAAACACGCTAAATACAGCAAGACGTTCTGGCGGGGCCAGAAGTCGGGGTTCAAATCCCACCCCGCCACTTAGTAACGCCATGTCCTGCCCCTCTCCCCTCAGGTGACTACCTCTCTAAATCCTCTTAGAAGCCTGTAAGATAGGGAGAGAGAAAAACTTTTCAGGCTCCTGTGGGAATTAAAGGAGACAATCCGTGTCAGGTGCTTACATCAACAGTAAGCACGCAGTCACAGTTGATGCTATTATTTTAAGCTTTACTGTGAACAGCGAGGTCGAGCCCGTCATTACTTAGCGACAGACTGAGTAACAGCAGAAGCCGTCCAAGATCACCTAACACCTTCCAGATGACCACACTGGGCTTCAGAGAGGGGGCAGTGCCTGCCCGAGGGCACACAGCGAGGGCCAAGTCCAGGACGGCAGCAACAGAGCCCCTCGGATCAGGACCCGCTTAAACAGAGGCGGGGAGGGGCCTGGCGGGTGGCAGGAGGACCCACTCACCGAACTGCATCCAGTCCCACTCGCTCAGAGTGTCCATGTTGCGGCACAGGTCGTCCAGCACCCAGGCGGGCAGCTGGTAGATGTA